GGATCAGGGAAAGTTGCCCCTTACCCCGGGAAATTCCATGGAAGTCTTTTCCCTTACCCCGGGATCATGGAATTTGTTCCCTTAGCCCTGGTTTTCCATTTGGAAGTCTGTTCCCTTAGCCCTGGATCAGGGAAGTCTTTTCCCTTACCCCCGGGAAATCAAAAAATTTGTTCCCTTGGGCCCCGGGGTTTTTCCCAGGGGAAAGGGTCTGTTCCTTTAGCCCGGTTTCAGGGAAGTTTTTTTCCCTTACCCCGGGAAACATGGAAGTCTGTTCCCTTTAGCCCTGGATTTGGGTTCCCTTGGCCCTGGACAGGGAAATTTTCTTTTTTTTCCTTGCCCTGGTCAGGGGAAAAGTTTCCCTTAGCCCGGTTTGGGGAAGGGTTTTTCCCTTAGCCTGGACCCTGGAAGTTTTTTCCTTAACCCCTGGATCAGGAAAGTTTTTTCCCCTTTACCCCTGGATCATGGAAGTCGCCCCCTTTAGCCCTGGATCGGGAAAAAGGGTTTTCCCCTTTAGCCCTGGATAATGGAAGTCTTTTTCCCTTACCCCTGGATAAGGAAGTCTGTTCCTTAGCCCTGGTCATGGAAAGTCTTTTCCCCTGCCCTGGAAGTTTTTCCCCTTACCCCGGGATCAGGGAAGTCTGTCCCTTAGCCCTGCGGAAGTTTTTTCCCCTTTAGCCCTGGATCAGGGAAAAAGTCTTTTCCCCCTTACCCCCTGGATCAGGGAAAAAAAAAAGTCTGTTCCCTTAGCCCTGGATCATGGAAGTCTTTTTCCCTTCCCCCGGATCAGGGAAGTCTTTTCCCCTTTACCCCTGGATATGGAAGTTGTCCCTTAGCCCTGGGATTTTTTGGGAAAAGTCGGTTACCTTAGGGGGCCCCCCCTGGTCGGGAGTCTTTTCCCCTTACCCCTGGATATGGAAGCCCGGGGTTTTCCCTTCCCTGGATCAGGGAAAAGTTTTTCCCCTTAGCCCGGATCAGGGAAAAATTTGGGTTCCCTTGGCCCTGGATCTGGAATTCTTTTTTACCTAGGCCTGGAAGTCTTTTCCCCTTTACCCCTGGATCAGGAAGTTTTTCCCTTAGCCCTGGATCATGGAAGTCTGTTCCTTACCCCCCGGATCAGGGAAGTCTGTTCCCTTAGCCCGGATCATGGAATTTGTCCCTTAGCCCTGGTCATGGAAGTCTTTTCCCTTAGCCCTGGTCATGGAAGTCTTTCCCTTAGCCCGGTTTAAGGGAAAGGGTCTGTTCCCTTAGCCCCTGGAAGTTGGTTCCCCTTAAAGCCCGGATCATGGAAGTCTTTTTCCCTTAGCCCTGGATCAGGGAAGTTTTTTCCTTTTACCCCCCGGGATCATGGAAGTCTTTTCCCTTAGCCCTGGATCATGGAAGTTTTTCCCTTAGCCGGATCATGGAAGTCTTTTCCCCTTTAGTCCGGGATTTGGAAGTCTTTCCCTTGGGCCCGGGATCAGGGGCGTCTTTTTTCCCTTAGCCCGGACCCCCAAGGGAAAGGGTCTTTTTATTCCCCCTTTGGATCAGGAAGTTGTTCCCTTAGCCCTGGTCATGGGTCTTTTTCCTTTTCCCCCTGGATCATGGAAGTCTTTTCCCTTAGCCTGGATCAGGGAACGTTTTTACTTGGGGCCCCTTTTATCAGGGAAAGTTGTTCCCTTACCCCCGGGTCATGGAAGTTTTTCCCCTTACCCCTGGGAAGTTGTTCCCTTAGCCCTGGATCATGGAATTTTTCCCCTAGCCCGGGAAGTTTTTCCCTTAGCCTGGATCAGGGAAAGGGCGGGTCCCTTAGCCCGGGATCGGGAAGTCTTACCTTACCCCTGGATCAGGGAAAGTCGGGTTCCCCTTTACCCCTGGACATGGAAGTTTTTCCCTTAGCCGGAAGTTGTTCCACCCCCGGGATCAGGAAAAGGTTTTTTCCCCTTTAGCCCGGGAGTCTTTTTCCCTTAGCCTGGACCGGAAAGTCGGGCCCCCTTTAGCCCTGGAATTTGTTCCTTAGCCCGGTTTCATGGAAGTCTTTTCCCCTTTAGCCTGGATCAGGGAAAGTTGTTCCTTAGCCCGGAAGTTTTTCCCTTACCCCGGGAAATCATGGAAGTCTTTTCCCCTTTTAGCCGGGAAAGGGGTCTTTTCCCCTTAGCCTGGATCAGGGAAACGGGGTTCCCTAGGGGCCGGGAAAGGTCTTGTTCCCTTACCCGGGATGGGGGGAAGCCCCCTTGCCCCCCTTAGCCCTGGATAGGGAAATTTGGTTACTTAGCCCTGGATGGGGTTTTTCCCTTACCCCTGGTTTAAGGGAAAGTCTTTCCCCCCTTGGGCCGGGGCCGCGGAAACCCTTACCCCGGGACCCTTTTGGGAAAGTTGGTTCCCTTAGCCCTGGATCATGGAATTTCTTTCCCTTTAGCCCGGACAAAGTTTTTCCTTGGGCCCTGGATCAGGGAAAGGTCTGGTTTCCCCTTTAAGCCCTTTGAATCCATGGGCTGTTTTTCCCTTTACCCCCTTTGCGACCCAATGGAAGTCGCCCTTAGCCCCTGATCAGGGGCCCCCCGGGTTCCCCTTTGGGGCCCGGGATCAGGGAAAGGGGTTCTTTTCCCCTTATTTCCTGGAAAAATGGACCGGTCTTTTCCCCCTTACCCCCGGGAAATAAAAGGGAAAGTTTTTCCCACCCCGGGGGCCTTTGGAAATTTTCTGTTCCTAGGCCCCGGGGGGATCCGGGAAATTTGGCCCCTTAGCCGGGATAATGGAAGTTTTGTTCCTTAGCCCTGGGACCCAATGGAAAGCTTTTTCCCTTTTAGCCCGGGGATCAGGGAAAGGGTCTGTCCCTTGGGCCCTGGATCATGGACTTTCTTTTCCCTTGCCCTGGATAGGAGTCGGCCCCCTTTGCCCTGGTTTCAGGGAAAAAGTCTTTTTCCCTTAGCCCTGGGATCTTTGTTGTTCCCTTAGCCCGGATAGGGAAAGTTTTTTTCCCTTTTTTACCCCGGGAAATCAGGGAAGTCTGTTCCCTTAGCCCTGGTAAGGGAAGTCTTTCCCCTTAGCCCGGATCAGGGAAGTCTTTTCCCTTTAGTCCTGGATCATGGAAGTCTTTTCCCTTTAGCCGGACCCATGGAAGTCTTTTCCCCTTTAGCCCCGGGAAATCAGGGAAAGTTTTTTCCCCTTACCCTGGGTCTGTTACCTTACCCCCGGGTATGGGGGAAATTTCTTTTCCCTTACCCCCGGGAAATATGGAAGTCTTTTAAACCTTAGCCCGGTTTCAGGGGGAAGTCGGGCCCCTTAGTCCGGTTAGGGGAAGCTGTTCCTTCCCCCCGGCCCTGGAAGTCTGTTCCCCTTAGCCCGGGACCCTGGAAAGTCTGCCCCCTTTACCCCTGGATAATGGAAGTCTTTTCCCCTTAGCCCGGGAAATGGGGGAAAGTTTTTCCCCTTAGCCCGGGTTATGGAAAGTCTTTTTCCCTTGCCTGGTAGGGAAAGTCTTTTCCCTTACCCCGGGAAATAATGGGAAGTCGTTCCCTTACCCGGTCTGGACAAAATTTTCCCTTAGTCCGGGGAAGCCCTGTTCCCTTGGGTGGGGGAAAAGTTTTTTCCCCTTACCCCTGGTTCAGGAAAGTCTGTTCCCTTAGTCCTGGATCATGGAAGTCTGTTCCCCCTTAGTCCTGGAAGTCTGTTCCCTTAGTCCTGGAAGTCTGTTCCCTTAGCCCTGGATCATGGAAGTCTGTTACCTTAGCCCTGGATCATGGAAGTCTGTTCCCTTAGCCCTGGATCATGGAAGTCTGTTCCCTTAGCCCTGGATCATGGAAGTCTGTTCCCTTAGCCCTGGATCATGGAAGTCTGTTCCCTTAGCCCTGGATCATGGAAGTCTGTTCCCTTAGCCCTGGATCACAGCTGTCAGATCCATTACAGTACACATTGTTGCTGCAGAACGCTAAAGCTTTATCCAAACCATTGGATGAACTGACCATAACATAGTGGTCATATCTAGAAAAGCAAAAGTTCCAAAGGCCTAAAATAGTGTATAAGAGATCATACTAAATGTTCTGTACTGATTCCTATATTGAAGATACAACAAATATTTGTTGGTCTGATGTGATGCATTTATGAAATAGTTTCTTCCGGTTATTGATAAGCATGCACCTATTATGGAACTCTGGTAGAACTTAAAGCCCCGTGGATTGGTGAGGAATTGGAAAGCTGGTAGAACTTAAAGCCCCGTGAATTGGTGAGGAATTGGAAAGCTGTCTGGTTGAGAGGAACGGGGCAAAAGGATTGGTGAAGAAGTCTGGATGCACATCTGACTGCCTGACTTACTGTTAATTGAGAAATGATGTGAACTAAACTGAACAGAAATAAGAAATGATATTATGAAACAGAGATAAATGGCAATGTGTGATAGAAAAATGCTTTGGAATATTTTAAATGAAATTATGGGCAGAAAGACTAATTCAACTCCATCTTTCATTGAATCACATTGCTCATTTATCACAAAACCTTTTGATGTTGCCAATTACTTTAATTACTATTTCATTGGCAAAGTAGGTACACTTAGGCATCATATTCATGCATAAAATACCCAATAATGAAAGAAAAGCATTGTAATTTTGAATTCTGTAAAGTTAGTGTGGGTGAGGTGGGAAAATGGTGGACTATATCGCCACTTCCTTCCTATTTGTCATATTTTTATTATCTGAGTCTGGATTTTTTTTAAAATTGTCCTCAGACCTGGAAGGAAGCCAAAGTCATTAAGCTACCCAAGAAGGCTGAATGTCTGAGGACTGTAGGGAGAAGGCTGAATGTCTGAGGACTGTAGGGAGAAGGCTGAATGTCTGAGGACTGTAGGGAGAATGCTGAATGTCTGAGGACTGTAGGGAGAAGGCTGAATGTCTGAGGACTGTAGGGAGAATGCTGAATGTCTGAGGACTGTAGGGAGAAGGCTGAATGTCTGAGGACTGTAGGGAGAAGGCTGAACTAGAGTTTGAGAGGGATAGTATTACCTGAATTCTTTGGAACTTTTCCCAGGTGTGGCCGTGACGCTAGCAGCTTCTTGCAACCTGACAGCACTGGAGCTCACTGCTCTCTGCAGACCGGTGGTTCCACAACTACAAAACATAAAACAATCATCAACACAGCAACTTCAAACCACCTTCAAAAACAGGCAGCCAGAAGCTGCATGCAGCAATGTGATTATTGCTCACAAACTGGCTAGAAAGTGTTGATAAATCACAAACTGGCTAGCAAGTGTTGATAAATCACTGTTCATTTTGAGATACTCCAGTAACTGCACAGATCATACATTTCTGCTACCTACACTGAACAGAAATATAAACGCCATGTAAAGTGTTGGTCCCATGTTTCATGAGCTGAAATAAAAAATTGCAGAAAAAGCTTATTTCTCTCAAATTTTGTACACAAACCTGTTAGTGAGCATTTCTCCTTTGCCAAGATAATCCATCCACCTGACAGGCGTGGCATATCAAGAAGCTGATTAAACAGCATGATCATTACACAGGTGCACCTTGTGCTAAAACAATAAAAGGCTACTTTAAAATGTGCAGTTTTGTCACACATACAATGCCACAGATGTTTCAAGTTGAGGGAGCATGTAATTGGCATGCTTACTGCAGGAATGTCCACCAGAGCTGTTGCCAGAGAATTGAATGTTCATTTCTACCATTAACTGCCTCCAATGTCGTTTTAGAGAATTTGGCAGTACGTCCAAACGGCATCACAACCACAGACCACCCGTAAACACGCCAGCCCAGGACCTCCACATCCGGCTTCTTCACCTGCGGGATCGTCTGAGGGGGGTGCTGAGGAGTATTTCTGTCAGTAATGAAGCCCTTTTGTGGGGAAAACTCATTCTGATTGGCTGGGCCTGACTCCCCAGTGGGCTCCCCTATGCCCTCCCATGGCTGGGCCTGACTCCCCAGTGGGCTCCCCTATGCCCTCCCAGGCCCACCCATGGCTGCACCCCTGCCCAGTCATGTGGAATCCATAGATTAGGGAAAAATGAATTTATTTCAATTGACTCATTTCCTTACATGAACTGTAACGCGGTAAAATCTCTGAAATTGTTGCGTTTATATTTTTGTTCAGTACAGACAGCTAACAAACTAGCTAGCTAATCGGTTTAGTGAAGTGTAGCAAACTGGCAGTATATCTAAATCCAGACTACCAGTCCTCAAACTAGCATCATTAAATAACGTTATCTAGCTAGCTAGCTGTCAATTGCATGCATGGGATTTCGTATAAAAAAGCGACATACTTACATTGAGCCTCCTGCATTCAAAGAACCAGCAACCTGTTGGCAAATACTCCTGACAGAATTAGATAATATACAGTTTAATGTATACATGATTAGCTAATATATTTTAGCTACTGGAAACCAGCACGTTAGCTAGCGTTACACAACAACATGTGTGACATTGAGGAGGTTTCCACTAGATAGCACAGTCACAAAGTCAGAATTGGCTATATCGTAAATTTTCATGAAAACAGACATTTGCTTTTTGGTCTTAATTTAAAGTTAGGGTTAGGCATACGGTTAGCAGTGTGGTTAGGTTTAAAATCAGATTATAAGAAGATACATTGTAGAAATAGGCGGGATTCCTGACTTTGTGACTGTAGTAACTAGTGACGGATCCATTTAGTATGACGCGTTTCCTGGAATAGTACATTATCCATAATGTGGGGGAGCGATACAAATGAGATGAACATATTTAGTTCTAAAATCTTATCCATAAACCTTTTTATTTCTACATTAAATGTATCTAAGATCAATTTAAACAAATATATTTCAATGAAGCTACATCTTAATATTTATTTATTTCAAACTACATTTATCTTCATTTCCTCTATCCCTTTTTCCTTACGCCCTTCTTCGCAGAGGTTTGTGGGTAGAACCTGGAGAATCAAGATGGCAGCGCCCTGCTCGAGGATTTTGAGTCGCCCCTTATGGCAATTTATTACAAATGTCGGACGGACAGGGCTAAAACATACAGGAGTTCGTCAAATTTCTCTCAGTTATGCTTGTCGAGCTGCAACGCAGACCAAAAGTAAAACGGAAAGCGTCGCGTCACCGTGGAAGGTGTACGGGGCGGTGTGTCTACAGAGGCTGCCTGTCATATCACAGGAGCGGAACCCGATCGAAGACCAATTCGCTGAGCTCATGCATCAGGTAAATGTGTTTTCATTAATTTGTCAATGGCAGTAGTCACTAGTAGTTTTAGGCTAGAATAAAACCCTGCGCATTGTTGCTCTCCATTGTTTTGCTCCAGGGTTCGAATTAAGGGTGAGCCGGGGGGGGGGGGGGCTCAACTCCTCTGAATGAAGAGTTAGCTCCCCTGAATGCAACACACTTTGTTGGTGTGTCTCTAAATAATGCTAATTTAACCATTCTTCTCTCGGTCTAAAATGCAGTGGTAAATATGTTTTACAGCGGATAATATGAAACTAAAAGCTTCCAAATGAAACGAACACCCCCACCTCTCTGTCATGGTTTAAACCATTTATTTCTGTGGAAGTGCTGTCCACTCAGTAGTGCTGAATTCCGACCTCGGCTGAGCTCCTTTACGCATCGATTTGCCTTTGTACTTATTCATTTTCGCTATTAGATTGCCATGCATCCATCCTTGATTTAAAAAAAATCCCTTTATTCCAATGCATTAGATTTATCCGTTGATGTGTCATTGTTTGCGTTTGTCAGTCAGCTGTTTAGAGCGCTCATTGCTTTGTTTTTCAGGTGTGTGCGGGTACAGATGTTCTCTGTGCTATCCGTGGGCAGTAGACCATTTATTTAGCTTTATTTTTTATCAATCTTTATTTTTCTTTCCTGGTTCAGCTGATGTAGTCCCGTGTAGCTCAGTTGGTAGAGCATGGCATTTGAAACGCCAGGGTTGTGGGTTCGTTTCCCACGGGGGACCAGTATGAAAAAAAAAAATGTATGCACTCACTAACTGTAAGAGTGTCTGCTAAATGACTAAAAAATAAAATAACAATATATATAAAAATGATGAATTATTTTGGAGTGGATGAACATGCACAGCTAGCCTACTTATTGAAGTGATTTGTTTGACAATCAGATGAAAACATCATGACTGGTTGTGTTCATGCCACATTAAAAGGTAATTCATTTTTACAGTTTAAATGAGGTCTTTGTTAAAGTCCTGGTCTCCAAGAGCCCCTCTCTCTCCTCAGGGAAGATGTAGATGGTATTATAAAGGCCTGGTCTCCAAGAGCCCCCCTCTCCTCAGGGAAGATGTAGATGGTATTATAAAGGCCTGGTCTCCAAGAGCCCCCCTCTCCTCGGGGAAGATGTAGATGGTATTATAAAGGCCTGGTCTCCAAGAGCCCCTCTCTCCGCAGGGAAGATGTAGATGGTATTATAAAGGCCTGGTCTCCAAGAGCCCCTCTCTCCTCGGGGAAGATGTAGATGGTATTATAAAGGCCTGGTCTCCAAGAGCCCCCCTCTCCTCGGGGAAGATGTAGATGGTATTATAAAGGCCTGGTCTCTAAGAGCCCCTCTCTCCGCAGGGAAGATGTAGATGGTATTATAAAGGCCTGGTCTCCAAGAGCCCCTCTCTCCTCGGGGAAGATGTAGATGGTATTATAAAGGCCTGGTCTCCAAGAGCCCCCCTCTCCTCAGGGAAGATGTAGATGGTATTATAAAGGCCTGGTCTCCAAGAGCCCCCCTCTCCTCAGGGAAGATGTAGATGGTATTATAAAGGCCTGGTCTCCAAGAGCCCCCCTCTCCTCAGGGAAGATGTAGATGGTATTATAAAGGCCTGGTCTCCAAGAGCCCCTCTCTCCGCAGGGAAGATGTATTACTGGTGTGTAAATATAAATGAGAGGCTGCCATCTTTGTGATATCCTAATCCCAGATGGAGCTGGAGAGAAGCTTGCTGTCGGAACATGAACAGAGGCTCCTGGAGGACTCGGAGCGTATGAGGCGTAAACAGGCAGACAACTATGATTCAGATGAGGAGGAGGCAGACTTCGGTGGCCAGGAGACCATCACAGCTCAGGACCAGGAGGACACCTGGGAACAGAATCTCAAACGCTTCCAACCTGCTCTCAGAGCCAGAGGTAGGAATCAGAGGTTGTCCTAAATGGCACCCTATTCCCTACACACTAGTATGACTACTATGCATACAAAACATTAGGAACAAATCAAATAATAAATCAAATGTTGTTGGTCACATGCTTCATGAACAACAGGTGTAGACTAGCAGTGAAATGCTTCATGAACAACAGGTGGAGACTAGCAGTGAAATGCTTCATGAACAACAGGTGTAGACTAGCAGTGAAATGCTTCATGAACAACAGGTGGAGACTAGCAGTGAAATGCTTCATGAACAACAGGTGGAGACTAGCGGTGAAATGCTTCATGAACAACAGGTGGAGACTAGCAGTGAAATGCTTCATGAACAACAGGTGGAGACTAGCAGTGAAATGCTTCATGAACAACAGGTGGAGACTAGCAGTGAAATGCTTCATGAACAACAGGTGGAGACTAGCAGTGAAATGCTTCATCAACAACAGGTGGAGACTAGCAGTGAAATGCTTCATGAACAACAGGTGGAGACTAGCAGTGAAATGCTTCATGAACAACAGGTGGAGACTAGCAGTGAAATGCTTCATCAACAACAGGTGGAGACTAGCAGTGAAATGCTTCATGAACAACAGGTGGAGACTAGCAGTGAAATGCTTCATGAACAACAGGTGGAGACTAGCAGTGAAATGCTTCATCAACAACAGGTGTAGACTAGCAGTGAAATGCTTCATGAACAACAGGTGGAGACTAGCAGTGAAATGCTTCATGAACAACAGGTGTAGACTAGCAGTGAAATGCTTCATGAACAACAGGTGGAGACTAGCATTGAAATGCTTCATGAACAACAGGTGGAGACTAGCAGTGAAATGCTTCATCAACAACAGGTGTAGACTAGCAGTGAAATGCTTCATGAACAACAGGTGTAGACTAGCAGTGAAATGCTTCATGAACAACAGGTGTAGACTAGCAGTGAAATGCTTCATGAACAACAGGTGTAGACTAGCAGTGAAATGCTTCATGAACAACAGGTGTAGACTAGCAGTGAAATGCTTCATGAACAACAGGTGTAGACTAGCAGTGAAATGCTTCATGAACAACAGGTGGAGACTAGCAGTGAAATGCTTCATGAACAACAGGTGGAGACTAGCAGTGAAATGCTTCATCAACAACAGGTGGAGACTAGCAGTGAAATGCTTCATGAACCACAGGTGGAGACTAGCAGTGAAATGCTTCATGAACAACAGGTGGAGACTAGCAGTGAAATGCTTCATGAACAACAGGTGGAGACTAGCAGTGAAATGCTTCATGAACAACAGGTGTAGACTAGCAGTGAAATGCTTCATGAACAACAGGTGGAGACTAGCGGTGAAATGCTTCATGAACAACAGGTGGAGACTAGCAGTGAAATGCTTCATGAACCACAGGTGTAGACTAGCAGTGAAATGCTTCATGAACAACAGGTGGAGACTAGCAGTGAAATGCTTCATGAACCACAGGTGGAGACTAGCAGTGAAATGCTTCATGAACAACAGGTGGAGACTAGCAGTGTAATGCTTCATGAACAACAGGTGGAGACTAGCAGTGAAATGCTTCATGAACCACAGGTGTAGACTAGCAGTGAAATGCTTCATGAACAACAGGTGTAGACTAGCAGTGAAATGCTTCATGAACAACAGGTGTAGACTAGCAGTGAAATGCTTCATGAACAACAGGTGGAGACTAGCAGTGAAATGCTTCATGAACCACAGGTGGAGACTAGCAGTGAAATGCTTCATGAACAACAGGTGGAGACTAGCAGTGTAATGCTTCATGAACAACAGGTGGAGACTAGCAGTGAAATGCTTCATGAACCACAGGTGGAGACTAGCAGTGAAATGCTTCATGAACAACAGGTGGAGACTAGCAGTGAAATGCTTCATGAACAACAGGTGTAGACTAGCAGTGAAATGCTTCATGAACAACAGGTGTAGACTAGCAGTGAAATGCTTCATGAACAACAGGTGGAGACTAGCAGTGAAATGCTTCATGAACAACAGGTGGAGACTAGCAGTGAAATGCTTCATGAACAACAGGTGGAGACTAGCAGTGAAATGCTTCATGAACAACAGGTGGAGACTAGCAGTGAAATGCTTCATGAACAACAGGTGGAGACTAGCAGTGAAATGCTTCATGAACAACAGGTGTAGACTAGCAGTGAAATGCTATAGTGCACTACACTACTTCTAGTCAGGGCCCTTTGTATGTAGATGGTGCCGTAGGCCCGGCAGTATAGACCTGATTTAATGGCTCTGTCAACAGATGAGACACTGACATCTACATTGACATGGTAGTCATTCAGCAGACGCTCTTATCCAGAGACTGACATCTACATTGACATGTAACTCTCTGTTCCAGTGCTTTGATAATCAAACTGACATGTAACTCTGTGTTCCAGTGCGTTGATAATCAAACTGACATGTAACTCTCTGTTCCAGTGCGTTGATAATCAAACTGACATGTAACTCTCTGTTCCAGTGCGTTGATAATCAAACTGACATGTAACTCTGTGTTCCAGTGCGTTGATAATCAAACTGACATGTAACTCTCTGTTCCAGTGCGTTGATAATCAAACCGACATGTAACTCTGTGTTCCAGTGAATTGATAATCAAACTGACATGTAACTCTCTGTTCCAGTGCGTTGATAATCAAACTGACATGTAACTCTGTGTTCCAGTGCGTTGATAATCAAACTGACATGTAACTCTCTGTTCCAGTGCGTTGATAATCAAACTGACATGTAACTCTCTGTTCCAGTGCGTTGATAATCAAACCGACATTTAACTCTGTGTTCCAGTGCGTTGATAATCAAACTGACATGTAACTCTGTTTTCCAGTGCGTTGATAATCAATCCGACATGTAACTCTGTGTTCCAGTGCGTTGATAATCAATCCGACATGTAACTCTGTGTTCCAGTGCGTTGATAATCAAACCGACATGTAACTCTGTGTTCCAGTGCGTTGATAATCAAACTGACATGTAACTCTCTGTTCCAGTGCGTTGATAATCAAACTGACATGTAACTCTGTTCCAGTGCGTTGATAATCAAACCGACATGTAACTCTGTGTTCCAGTGCGTTGATAATCAAACTGACATGTAACTCTGTTCCAGTGCGTTGATAATCAAACTGACATGTAACTCTGTTCCAGTGCGTTGATAATCAAACTGACATGTAACACTGTTCCAGTGCGTTGATAATCAAACTGACATGTAACTCTGTTCCAGTGCGTTGATAATCAAACTGACATGTAACTCTGTGTTCCAGTGCGTTGATAATCAAACTGACATGTAACTCTGTGTTCCAGTGCGTTGATAATCAAACTGACATGTAACTCTGTGTTCCAGTGCGTTGATAATCAAACTGACATGTAACTCTGTTCCAGTGCGTTGATAATCAAACCGACATGTAACTCTGTGTTCCAGTGCGTTGATAATCAAACTGACATGTAACTCTGTGTTCCAGTGCGTTGATAATCAAACTGACATGTAACTCTGTTCCAGTGCGTTGATAATCAAACTGACATGTAACTCTGTGTTCCAGTGCGTTGATAATCAAACTGACATGTAACTCTGTGTTCCAGTGCGTTGATAATCAAACCGACATGTAACTCTGTGTTCCAGTGCGTTGATAATCAAACCGACATGTAACTCTGTGTTCCAGTGCGTTGATAATCAAACCGACATGTAACTCTGTTCCAGTGCGTTGATAATCAAACTGACATGTAACTCTGTTCCAGTGCGTTGATAATCAAACTGACATGTAACTCTGTGTTCCAGTGCGTTGATAATCAAACTGACATGTAACTCTGTTCCAGTGCGTTGATAATCAAACTGACATGTAACTCTGTTCCAGTGCGTTGATAATCAAACTGACATGTAACTCTGTGTTCCAGTGCGTTGATAATCAAACCGACATGTAACTCTCTGTTCCAGTGCGTTGATAATCAAACCGACATGTAACTCTCTGTTCCAGTGCGTTGATAATCAAACCGACATGTAACTCTGTGTTCCAGTGCGTTGATAATCAAACTGACATGTAACTCTGTTCCAGTGCGTTGATAATCAAACCGACATGTAACTCTGTTCCAGTGCGTTGATAATCAAACTGACATGTAACTCTGTGTTCCAGTGCGTTGATAATCAAACTGACATGTAACTCTGTGTTCCAGTGCGTTGATAATCAAACTGACATGTAACTCTGTTCCAGTGCGTTGATAATCAAACTGACATGTAACTCTGTTCCAGTGCGTTGATAATCAAACTGACATGTAACTCTGTTCCAGTGCGTTGATAATCAAACTGACATGTAACTCTGTGTTCCAGTGCGTTGATAATCAAACTGACATGTAACTCTGTTCCAGTGCGTTGATAATCAAACTGACATGTAACTCTGTGTTCCAGTGCGTTGATAATCAAACTGACATGTAACTCTGTGTTCCAGTGCGTTGATAATCAAACTGACATGTAACTCTGTGTTCCAGTGCGTTGATAATCAAACTGACATGTAACTCTGTTCCAGTGCGTTGATAATCAAACCGACATGTAACTCTGTGTTCCAGTGCGTTGATAATCAAACTGACATGTAACTCTGTGTTCCAGTGCGTTGATAATCAAACTGACATGTAACTCTGTGTTCCAGTGCGTTGATAATCAAACTGACATGTAACTCTGTGTTCCAGTGCGTTGATAATCAAACCGACATGTAACTCTGTTCCAGTGCGTTGATAATCAAACTGACATGTAACTCTGTTCCAGTGCGTTGATAATCAAACCGACATGTAACTCTGTGTTCCAGTGCGTTGATAATCAAACTGACATGTAACTCTGTTCCAGTGCGTTGATAATCAAACTGACATGTAACTCTGTGTTCCAGTGCGTTGATAATCAAACTGACATGTAACTCTGTTCCAGTGCGTTGATAATCAAACTGACATGTAACTCTGTGTTCCAGTGCGTTGATAATCAAACTGACATGTAACTTTGTGTTCCAGTGCGTTGATAATCAAACTGACATGTAACTCTGTGTTCCAGTGCGTTGATAATCAAACCGACATGTAACTCTGTGTTCCAGTGCGTTGATAATCAAACCGACATGTAACTCTGTGTTCCAGTGCGTTGATAATCAAACCGACATGTAACTCTGTTCCAGTGCGTTGATAATCAAACTGACATGTAACTCTGTTCCAGTGCGTTGATAATCAAACTGACATGTAACTCTGTGTTCCAGTGCGTTGATAATCAAACTGACATGTAACTCTGTTCCAGTGCGTTGATAATCAAACTGACATGTAACTCTGTTCCAGTGCGTTGATAATCAAACTGACATGTAACTCTGTGTTCCAGTGCGTTGATAATCAAACTGACATGTAACTCTGTGTTCCAGTGCGTTGATAATCAAACCGACATGTAACTCTGTTCCAGTGCGTTGATAATCAAACTGACATGTAACTCTGTTCCAGTGCGTTGATAATCAAACCGACATGTAACTCTGTGTTCCAGTGCGTTGATAATCAAACTGACATGTAACTCTGTTCCAGTGCGTTGATAATCAAACTGACATGTAACTCTGTTCCAGTGCGTTGATAATCAAACTGACATGTAACTCTGTGTTCCAGTGCGTTGATAATCAAACTGACATGTAACTCTGTGTTCCAGTGCGTTGATAATCAAACTGACATGTAACTCTGTTCCAGTGCGTTGATAATCAAACTGACATGTAACTCTGTTCCAGTGCGTTGATAATCAAACTGACATGTAACTCTGTGTTCCAGTGCGTTGATAATCAAACTGACATGTAACTCTGTTCCAGTGCGTTGATAATCAAACTGACATGTAACTCTGTGTTCCAGTGCGTTGATAATCAAACTGACATGTAACTCTGTGTTCCAGTGCGTTGATAATCAAACTGACATGTAACTCTGTGTTCCAGTGCGTTGATAATCAAACCGACATGTAACTCTGTGTTCCAGTGCGTTGATAATCAAACTGACATGTAACTCTGTGTTCCAGTGCGTTGATAATCAAACTGACATGTAACTCTGTGTTCCAGATGTAGATGGTACAGCACTGGGCTCAGTGGAGAGGTGTCTTGGAGACAGCCTGGTCCTGCTGGTACAGCAGACTGTTGGTAAAGAGAAGATCTGGCTGCTGCCTCAGGCCCAGTGGGAGGCAGGGGAGACTCTCAGACAGACAGCAGAGAGAGCCTTCACCAGCCTGCCAGGTGAGACGTGTAGTAGAAATTACTCTGCATCCCAAAATGCCTCCCTCTTTAGTACACTACTTTATAGACCCTGGTCAAAAGTAGTGCTCTGAATAGGGTGCTCTGAATAGGGAGCCATTTTGGGATGCAGTGTTTCCTCTGGCAGACATTTCCATCATGTGTCCAACAACATATGCAAGATTCCAGCATTATCTGTGTAGAGCAGGGCTATATATATATATATATATATATATATATATATATATATATATATATATATATATATATATATATATATATATATATATATATATATATATATATAACTACTAATTCTGTATCAAATGATAGAACCCTTCACCTAAACATTACTGGTATATCAGTTAAGACTTATTCTGTGTTCTCCAACTCTATTCTAACTGCCAAACTATTTTTCATTCCAGAGGCTGATTTCAAGGCTACGTTCCTTGGCAACACCCCCTGTGGAGTGTACAGGTACAAGTTCCCCAAAGATGGCCGGACCGAGCGCAGCGTGGGAGCCAAGGTGTTCTTCTTCAAAGCTTTACTGTCAGGCGGTTCAGGCAGTCAGTCGGCCAGTCAGAAAGGACCTTTCCTGTGGTTGAAGAAGACTGAACTGCAGGGTTACCTGAAGCCAGCCTACTTGGAGAAGGTCAACCGCTTCATACTCAACCTGTGATGGACAGGATCCGACGAGAGGTTACAGTTGTCTTTTAAAATGTCATCGTTGAGTCCTGGAAGTCATACTTCTGTCATTAGCAAACTGCTGTTTTCTCCCTCATCCACTTTGTGTATAAGATAACATGATTAAAGTATATAATTTTTTCCAACATATACCATTTTTGAGTGTTGTCGGTAGGCCTATATCCGAGAGGATAGAAACCCAGTCTCTTTGCCTATGTGTTGTTGTTCTATGCAGACAGGGTATTGTCCTGTCCTCCACCAGATGGCAGCAGAGAGACAGGAGGAGAGGCTGATCAGAGATCAGCTCTGTTAGGCCCAGAGAACATAGTGATGCAAATAGACCCTCTCAGATTGAACTGACCTTTCACTAATGCTAGAAATACCCCCTTTTCCAGTGGTGTAAAGTACTTAAGTAAAAAATACTTTAAAGTACTACTTAAGTCGTTTTTTTTTTGGCGTATCTGTACTTTACTTTAATATGTATATTTTTGACATGTTTTTACTTCACTACATTCCTAAAGAAAATAATGTGCTTTTTACTCCATAAATTTTTCCTTGACACCCAAAAGTACTCGTTACATTTTGAATGTTTAGCAGGACAGGAAAATGGTCCAATTCACACACTTATCAAGAAAACATCCCTGGTCATCCCTACTGCCTCTGATCTGGTGGACTCACTAAACACATGCATATTTTTTAATACCACACAAATGTCCAAATACAGGCTACTGATAAACTCGCTATTCAGGTAGGATGCAATTTTGTAACTTTATTTGTTTATTTTTTCGTATTTATAATAATTATTTTAAATCATTAATATTATTGTATATTGTTATTATTGTAGGCCTATTTATTATTCAAAACCAGTTCTTTAAATAACGTGTTTTGTTTCATTATGTTGAGACATTTTCGTTGGCAAAATGAAGATCTGTCTTTTTACTTGTGCTGCTGCAGCACCTCTACTTCCTGCTGCAGCACCTCTACTTCCTGCTGCAGCACCTCTACTTCCTGCTGTAGCACCTCTACTTCCTGCTGCAGCACCTCTACTTCCTGCTGCAGCACCTCTACCTCCTGCTGCAGCACCTCTACTTCCTGCTGCAACACCTCTAATTCCTGCTGCAGCACCTCTACTTCCTGCTGCAGCACCTCTACTTCCTGCTGCAGCACCTCTACTTCCTGCTGCAACACCTCTAATTTCTGCTGCAGCACCTCTACTTCCTGCTGCAGCACCTCTACTTCCTGCTGCAGCACCTCTACTTCCTGCTGCAACACCTCTACTTCCTGCTGCAGCACCTATACATCCTGCTGCAGCACCTCTACTTCCTGCTGCAGCACCTCTACTTCCTGCTGCAGCACCTCTACCTCCTGCTGCAGCACCTCTACTTCCTGCTGCAGCACCTCTACTTCCTGCTGCAGCACCTCTACTTCCTGCTGCAGCACCTCTACTTCCTGCACAAGGAGTATGACAATTGGGGACTTTTTCCACCACAGCCCTTTTCACGGCCAAAACACAAACTTCCAGGTACAGTTGAAGTCGGAAGTTTACATACACCTTAGCCAAATACATTTAAACTCGTTTTTCACAATTCCTGACATTAAATCCTAGTAAAAATTCCCTGTCTTAGGTCAGTTAGGATCACCACTTTATTTTAAGAATGTGAAATGTCAGAATAATAGTAGAGAGAATGATTTATTTCAGCTTTTATTTATTTCATCACATTCCCAGTGGGTCAAAAGTTTACATACACTCAATTAGTATTTGGTAGCATTGCCTTTAAATTGTTTAACTTGTGGGAAGCTTGCCTTCCACAAGCTTCCCACAATAAGTTGGGTGAATTTTGGCCCATTCCTCCTGACAGAGCTGGTGTAACTGAATCATGTTTGTAGGCCTCCTTGCTCGCACACGCTTTTTCAGTGCTTTGTGATGGCCACTCCAATACCTTGACTTTGTTGTCCTTAAGCCATTTTGCCACAACTTTGGAAGTATGCTTTGGGTCATTGTCCATTTGGAAGACCCATTTGCGACCAAGCTTTAACTTCCTGACTGATGTCCTGAGATGTTGCTTCAATATATCCACATCATTTTCCTTCCTCATGATGCCATCTATTTTGTGAAGTGCACCAGTCCCTCCTGCAGCAAAGCACCCCCACAGCATGATGCTGCCACCCCCGTGCTTCACGGTTGGGATGGTGTTATTCGGCCTGCAAGGCTCCCCCTTTTTCCTCCAAACATAACGATGGTCATTATAGCCAAACAGTTCTATTTTTGTTTCATCAGACCAGAGGACATTTCTCCAAAAAGTACAATCTTTGTCCCCATGTGCAGTTGCAAAACGTAGTCTGGCTTTTTTATGGCGGTTTTGGACCAGTGGCTTCTTCCTTGCTGAGCGGCCTTTCAGGTTATGTCGATATAGGACTCGTTTTACTGTGGATATAGATACTTTTGTACCTGTTTCCTCCAGCATCTTCACAAGGTCCTTTGCTGCTGTTCTGGGATTGATTTGCACTTTTCGCACCAAAGTACGTTCATCTCTAGGAGACAGAACGCGTCTTCTTCCTGAGCGGTATGACGGCTGTGTGGTTCCATGGTGTTTATACTTGCGTACTATTGTTTGTACAGATGAACGTGGTACCTTCAGGCGTTTGGAAATTGCTCCCAAGGATAAACCAGACTTGTGGAGGTCTACAATTTTTTTTCTGAGGTCTTGGCTGATTTATTTTGATTTTCCCATGATGTCAAGCTAAGAGGCACTGAGTTTGAAGGTAGGCCTTGAAATACATCCACAGGTACACCTCCAATTGACTCAAATGATGTCAATTAGCCTATCAGAAGCTTCTAAAGCCATGACATTTTTTTTCTGGAATTTTCCAAGCTGTTTAAAGGCACAGTCAACTTAGTGTATGTAAACTTCTGACCCACTGGAATTGTGATACAGTGAATTATAAGTGAAATCATCTGTCTGTAAACAGTTGTTGGAAAAAATTACTTGTGTCATGCATAAAGTAGATGTCCTAACTGACTTGCCAAAACTATAGTTTGTTCAAAAGAAATTTGTGGAGTGGTTGAAAAACAAGTTTTAATGACTCCAACCTAAGTGTATGTAAACTTCCGACTTCAACTGTAAGTGCTTTTTTATGTTAACTTGCCGTCCCCTCCATTCTCCTGGAACCAGCTTGTCATCTCTATTGGTGTCTTCTGGGACAAGTGGAGGAAGAGGACATTGTCATAAATGTTGAAGTTATATGGCTACATCCTAAAATGGCACCGTATTCCCTATCTAGTGCACTACTTTTGAGCTGGACCCATAGGTCCGGCTGGTCTAAAGTAGTGCACTAGACTATGTAATATAGGGGATAGGGTGCTGTTTGTGCCACAGCTGTTCTACTCCCAGAGCTCTGAGAGAGCGTGTTAAAGTGTCTAATGAAGCAGAGAGCTGTTCTGAGGTTGGAGTGGACGGCAGCAGCTGCTGTGTTTGAGGGGCCGAGCTGGGGGGGGGGGGGGGGGGGCTGCTCTCTGTTGAGCAGAATGTGTCAGCGAGGATCCAACGCTGCATACGGAGCCCTGAGCCCACTCGCCTTCCGCGCACTGTAGGCTACAATACTGTATTTCAAATCAAATCAAATTTTATTGGTCACATGCGCCGAATACAACGGGTGCAGACATTACAGTGAAATGCTTACTTACAGCCCTTAACCAACAGTGCATTTATTTTAAACAAAAAAAAGTAAAAATAAAACAACAACAAAAAAAGTGTTGAAAAAAAAAAAGAGCAGAAGTAAAATAAAGTAACAGTAGGGAGGCTATATATACAGGGGGGTACCGTTGCAGAGTCAATGGGAAATAACAGTAGGGAGGCTATATATACAGGGGGGTACCGGTGCAGAGTCAATGGGAAATAACAGTAGGGAGGCTATATATACAGGGGGGTACCGGTGCAGAGTCAATGGGAAATAACAGTAGGGAGGCTATATATACAGGGGGGTACCGGTGCAGAGTCGATGGGAAATAACAGTAGGGAGGCTATATATACAGGGGGGTACTGGTGCAGAGTCAATGGGAAATAACAGTAGGGAGGCTATATATACAGGGGGTACCGGTGCAGAGTCAATGGGAAATAACAGTAGAGAGGTTATATACAGGGGGGTACCGGTGCAGAGTCAATGTGTAATAACAGTAGGGAGGCTATATACAGGGGGGTACCGGTACAGAGTCAATGGGAAATAACAGTAGGGAGGCTATATATACAGGGGGTACCGGTGCAGAGTCAATGGGAAATAACAGTAGGGAGGCTATATATACAGGGGGGGTACCGGTGCAGAGTCAATGGGAAATAACAGTAGGGAGGCTATATACACAGGGGGGTACCGGTGCAGAGTCAATGGGAAATAACAGTAGGGAGGCTATATATACAGGGGGGGTACCGGTGCAGAGTCAATGGGAAATAACAGTAGGGAGGCTATATATACAGGGGGGTACCGGTGCAGAGTCAATGGGAAATAACAGTAGAGAGGTTATATATACAGGGGGGTACCGGTGCAGAGTCAATGGGAAATAACAGTAGGGAGGCTATATATACAGGGGGGTACCGGTGCAGAGTCAATGGGAAATAACAGTAGGGAGGCTATATATACAGGGGGGTACCGGTGCAGAGTCAATGGGAAATAACAGTAGGGAGGCTATATATACAGGGGGGTACCGGTGCAGAGTCAATGGGAAATAACAGTAGGGAGGCTATATATACAGGGGGGTACCGGTGCAGAGTCAATGGGAAATAACAGTAGGGAGGCTATATATACAGGGGGGTACCGGTGCAGAGTCGATGGGAAATAACAGTAGGGAGGCTATATATACAGGGGGGTACTGGGTGGCAGAGTCAATGGGAAATAACAGTAGGGAGGCTATATATACAGGGGGTACCGGTACAGAGTCCAATGGGAAATAACAGTAGGGAGGCTATATATACAGGGGGGTACCGGTGCAGAGTCAATGGGAAATAACAGTAGGGAGGCTATATATACAGGGGGGTACCGGTGCAGAGTCAATGGGAAATAACAGTAGGGAGGCTATATATACAGGGGGGTACCGGTGCAGAGTCAATGGGAAATAACAGTAGGGAGGCTATATATACAGGGGGTACCGGTACAGAGTCAATGGGAAATAACAGTAGGGAGGCTATATACAGGGGGTACCGGTGCAGAGTCAATGGGAAATAACAGTAGGGAGGCTATATACAGGGGGGTACCGGCTAGTTGAGGTGGGAAACAGCTGTGTAGTGAGCTGCAGCCTATCGAGTGTTTGTGTTTATG